ATTTGCTTTTAATATTTATATTTGAAATTTAGTGAAGAGCTGGATAAGGTTTAAAGACTGGAGTTTGTACACCTTATCTTATAGGCTCATGGAATTAATGAGCAAGCCCTTTTTATGATTTCATTCTTGTAACTTAACGAATTATATAAAAAGGAAGAAAGGATAAGAAGAGGGTAGTGACATCTCAATTACTACTCTAGAGATGGAATTATAATAATTTTAAAAATGTAAATTAGAATTTAGGATTGGAAGAGACCCTAGAGGTAATCTAATCCTACCACTTCATTTTAAAAATGAAGAAACAGATTTGAAACTATAACAGCAGCAAGATTTCTTTCTATTTGCAGTTTTATTTCAATGAGTGTATGTATTACAGTCTACTTAATTTTATTCATAAAAGTTGTGTCAGATATTTGTCCTCACTATCCCTAGAGTAACAGAACATTATGTACTCAGCAGTGCTATTTATACACATGCCATTCTTCATACTACTACTTCTTAATTTTTTGTGTAGCTCATATGAAATAACAGTAGAAAATGTTGTTTGTGTTGTATGGAACCAAAAAGAAAAAATAAGGACAAATTTTAACTTTGAGGTATTTTAAAATTTAAATATATATTCATTTTTGTATAGATTTATTTATAACCATCAGATAATTCAGTTCAAAAAATAATCTGTAGTGTTGTATGTATGTACATGGGGCTATTTAGAGAGTTTCTCAGAGAAAATAAGATCTTTTAGATCAAGATAACTTTTCAAGGAAAGTTTATATTCACTGTGGTCTTTGCTATAAGCAGTGTCCACTTCTCTGTATGCAATGACCAGGTCATTAATCGCTGTGACTTTAATGTACTTAGTTGTTAATACAAATGAAATCATTTCAAACATCATGAAACTATAAAAATATGAATGTTCACTGTGGAAAAACAGGAAAAATAGAAAAAAATAGAAAAAAGAAAACGTTTACCTTCAGCCATACCATCCAGGGATGACCATTGTTTATTAATTTTGCTTGTTTACGTCTACTCTTTTTTCTGCATACTCTTACATAATTGAGAAGTAATCACTTAACAAATAAAATAAGTTATTATGTAGATATGTTCTCAATATTTTTGCCTTTATTCGAGACAGGATCCAAGTAAACACTTAAAAACTAATTTGTCAAAACTTGTAGCTAAAGCAGGATTATTAAAGTGAAAGTCCGAGTTGCTTTTCATTAATTAATTTGTGAAAGAAAATTATATTTTTAGAGGTATAAGATTAAATTTTAATTTGTTAGCTATAATAATTTTCATTGATGGTTAAGGGTGCGGTGGGGAATCAAACACTTTTGGTGGGAGGACCTTAGAAATATCTAATTTATTTCTTTTCTAGTGCAGGAGTTGATTTTACACCTTTCCTGATAATTGGTAAGACTCATAAGCACTTCCAGCGATAGGGAGCTTGCCTAGTTTAAGAGCCAACTTGTTCCTTTATTTGATAGCTGTAATAATTACTAGGAAGTTCTTCTCAATACTGTGTTAAGTATTGTAATTTTCATGTATTTCTTATTTTCGTCCTAGAAAGATTTTTATTTTTACATCCATATTATGCTCCTTAAATATTAACCTTAGTTATTTAATATTCTTTGCTGTACATACCTCTTTCAGTTATTCACTCCTTTTGATAATCTATGATCTGATTCAGTGTACTGTGATGGGACATTCTTTGATAAGCATACTGTGTTTTTGTTAAGGCCCAAGGCTTTTTGTTGGCCTTGTAGTAGCTACACTGGATTGTTGGCAGGAGCTCCTGTGGTCAAATGAAATGCCTAGGTTTCCCCTTCCTCCCACTCACAGATGACAAGTTAGAGCTCTTTCTCTGTTTGTCCTTGTGCAGTTGATTTAAAGCAAACAGTGTCAGGTTACAGTGGTTTATATAAATCCTTGTTTCATCTTATTGTTGTAATCTCTCAAGATCTTTGGATTTTATATTTATAAACTGATAAATACTCCTTTTAGCCTTGTGTATTCTGTATTAACTTTCTTTGAGTACTGTTTTAATCAGCTGTGAATTTACCTGACTTTTTTTTTTTAATGGAGCTCACATTTTTCATCTGTCTAGTGAATCTGTCAAAGAAAGAAAGAAAGGCAGGTTAATTTGGGTTGAGAAACCATCTGTTGAGTTTTCCAGGCTCGGAGTTTGAATCTGGTTTTCTTATCTCATTTTGGACCTATATACATGCTTTATGCCTGAAACACATATAACAATGTTGTCTACTTCTCTGTCCATGGACTAGTGAGGTCTGGAAGGTGTTTTTTGGGAGCTGCACTATTGCTGTCTGTGTTGAGATTGTACTTAACTTCCTCTGTTGTCCATTGAACCATCATTTTCTAGGCTTCTATACGGCTTCCTCATGGATAAATATGGAAAAACTACAACTTCCTGTAATGAATTTCGGGGAGAGGTGGGGTTTTGTAGTTATGATAATTGTATTGTTTTCATCCTCCTGAATCCCTGAAATTGTCACAATTGGGAGTTATTCTTGTTCATTAAGAAGTCTTTTTTTCTCAAAATAAAAATATGACACTTGTAATAGATAACACAGTAGTCCATTATCTTAGGCAGATTGTTGCAATTAGGAATGGAAATTAGAACTACTATTTAAAAATATTTATTAACCCATTACAATCCATATTCATTGTTGAATAAATAAAAAATAAAGATTAACACAAAGATAACAAAATTGCCTATTACTCTGTCACTTAGAGGTGGCTTACTGTAAACATTTGTATTCTAACAGATTTTTATATGTAGTATATTTTAGTGGCTTCATGCTATCCATGCTATTCTGTAAACTGATCTTCTCACTAATGATAGATTTAAACACCTATAGTGAGGAGTATATTTTAACAGATTTTATTTGTGTATATTATTAATACTTAAATGGTTTTATACTCCATATGCTATTCTACATAGCATATTTTCTCATTTATAGTAGTTTTTGAACATCTACTTGGTCATGAATATAGAGCTGTAGCATTCTTTTTCTTAATAGGGTATAGGTGTGCTATAGTTTATTTACGTAATCTAATCTCCTGCTGTTGGAAGCCAGAGATTTTTTTTTTTGGCTATTATAAAGAACATTGTGATGAATAGTTCCTCATAGAGTTCCTCTTCACTTGTCTGATTATTTCTTGAGGGTAAATTCCTAGAACTGGAATTTCTGTTCCAGTGATAAATAAACTTTGAAGACTTATCACATGCGTACTATGAATTGCCATTTAGGAAAGTTGTACTACTGTATACTCTCACCAGCAATGTACAAGAGTAGCTACCCATTTTCCCACTAGGTTAGATGGAGATCATCTCCTTCCCTAGCTGTGGTTGATATCTAACATGATGTCAAGCCCAACTCACTAGTCTGTTTCCAGGCTTTTGATGTTGTGCCTTTACTTATGCTGTCTTCTCTTTTTGGAATGACTTGCCCCACATTTGCCTGGCTAATTTTACTGGTCTTTTAGACTATAAGGCTGGAAAATTTATAGAGCTTCTTATTTCCATGACCACTACTTGATCAAGGATATTTGTTTCATAGGAAGTTTATATTTGAAGTTATAAAGTTATCCTGACTGGGGATATAACATAGTTTTCTCAAATTTGTCTTTTCTCTCAGGGCTAGGAGAACAGATTCATAAGTGGCTGTTAGCTAAAATTTCAGACTTTGGAATCCCATAGTCCCTGTGGCATGATTACTGTGTCTTCTGTCTTTTAAGGCTCCAAATTTCATTCTGGTTGAGTTTCTTTAAGGGTAAGGTGGGCATGGCAGAGGAGGAGAGTGTGGTTTGATTGTCAGTCCTGCTGCCAAGTTTATGTGGTGCTTAACGGGGTGCTTATTGAAGTGCTCAGTAAATGCTAACTGACTAAGCTAAGTGATAGCTCTGGAAAACCCAAGACTGGCCCTGAGGACTGAGGCTGGACTTGACAGAAACCTGACGTTAAGACTGGTGTGTCAACCAAGGAAGCTATACCAGCAGATAGAATAGCAACACGAAGCTGAGGCTACTTTTCTGCTTTAGAGATTTGATGGGCTATAACTCAGAAATCTGGGAATTTGTACTATAATTCTAACATGCCACCAACACTATCGTTAACAGACTGTATGCCAAAATATTACCACATGTCTTTATAATACCAGTTGGCTCAAACATGTTTGGGAAATAGCAAAAAGATGTCAGTATAATGTGGAAGTTTGGATTCATGTGCAATTTTTCCTAGTTTAGGAGAGCTGGGATAATGGAGTAGAATAATAACCTTTAGCTGGAGGGGAAAAAACCCTGAAGATAGCAAGAGCCTTTTCAGCAACACTTTAAGAAAGTTAGAAATGTGCATCTGTTCCCAGGCTCCCCGCTAAGAGGCACACCCCTAGCCTCACCCCGTTTTCACTAGCGGTAGGCTGCCCCTCTGCTCCTCTTCGTGTCTCACTTCGTGTGGTGCAGTGTGCCATCCATCCCCTGAGACTTCCTCAAACCACTCCAAGATGTTTGCCTGGGCTTCCAAATGATCTCCCCAGGTACCTACGATTATGGCTTTTGTTTGTCTTAGACTCTTCAGATCCTGTCCTCTGTTCATTTTTTTATGCTTCCCCTTCTCTCCTTCCTTCCTTCCTATGCTAATCTGCTCCCCCTCTTGCTTAGATTTTTTATTCATTTGATGTTATGCTTATAAGGTTAGGAAAATTTTTATTTTTGAATTCTGGGGTGTTAAAGAGTCTTGCAGTAGAAGCACAGATTAAGTTTAAGAGCTCTTTTAATACTAAGGATTTTCATTATATATTTTAATCAAAATTAGCAGCATTAAAAAGATACTATAGCAAACACATAAAAGTAAAATGTGTTGATTAATAATATATAAGCATGACTATATTATATTTAATGATTTATAAGCATATTTATGTTTATGTAAAATGTATATATTCATCGATAGGACTGTTATAATGCTAATTTTGTTTTTCCTCTAGGAGGATCAGGATGGGAGTCAAGGTCTGGGCAAGAGAAAGAGAGTCAAACTAAGCAGTAGCACCAAAGGTATTTATAGTTTGCTTTTTCCTTGTACAAGAAGCTCCTAAAATACTAAATTACTAAGAATGCTTGATTGGCTAGCTGTATTGACATCAAAGTTGTTTGAAAAGAGAGTACTTTGTTAGATTTGCCTAATGTTGGAGAAAGTATTGTTAGGGGGTGATTGTGGGGGACCTCAAAAGCAAGTAAAACCTTTACTATTGGGATTTTGTTATATTTTTCATAAAATGTGCATTGTCATATTTGAGTCAGAAAAAAAGTCTTTTCATTGATTCTTTGATTTGGATTCAGTGTTTTAGGTGTAAAGTTTTAGTTTGGTTTACATCTTTTTATAATCTAGGGTATGCAATTTCTACAGTGAAAAAGGACAGCTAAGGGAGAGATGGTGAAAGAGTGAGAGAATAAGAATGAGTGAATATTAGAATGAAAGAGAAGAATAGCACTTAACACACATTAAGAGGTCAGTAAGGACTTAATACATGTTTACTGAAAGGAAGAAGTAGCTATGCCTGTAGTGAGGGAATAGATTAGTTTTAATAATAATGAGTAATATTTATTGAACCTTTTTTTTTGTATGTGCTAGACATAGTGCTAAGCACTTCACAGGCATTGTTTCACTTAATTGTCAAAGTAACCATATGAAGCAGGTTTTTTGAATTACTATTTTATGTATTAGAAAATGGAGGCATGTTAGAGATCACAGCTAATGGGGAGTAGATCCCAGAGCCTAAGCTCTTAACCACTATGTTTTTTTGGCCCTCACTGAACGCTTTTCTAGAGTACTTGTTTTTAGTTGGCAGCCTGTACTCTGGATTTTTGCCATGGATTTCAAAAGTTTAACATGGTCTGTTGTCTGGGTTAGATGGTCTCCAGTGGTTAAAATAAAACTTTGATGAAAAGAAGATTCTTACTTCTGGTGCTGATTAAGTGTATCTTGTGGAATGTTTAGGACTGCTTGGAAAGGAGGAGCAAGCAGGCAATTTCAGTAGAGGCTCATTTTGAAAGTCTGGTCTTAGTTACCTAGGCTGCTGCGTATAACTTGTGGGCTGCTAGCAAAGGGTATGAAATTTGATCTGTGGTCCAGGATGCACACATACACACGTGTTCCTCTACTTCTGGGCTTATCAGAGAACCTGTGATGCCTGAAGAAAATCAGAAACCCATGTGGCTACCTGGCTTTTTGACTTACCAGAGTTGTGCATGTGTTTACCTGAGTCCTTGAGACACATCTGAGTGGGAGAAGATTGGTAGGCACATACGTGAGATTGTTTTAGGGATGCCCAGAAAATACCTGTTATGGTGTAAGAGGTCATTGTTCTCCTTCAGCCTGATCAAACTCCAGTTGAAGGTACTAAAGTTGAAATTTATTTTCTTTTATTCTGAATTTTTTTCATATTTGGGATTGGATTGTCTTCTCTTTCGTCCTCTAGTGGTAAGAAGTAGTACAGAGATTTCAGACTTGATCAGTTACCATTTTTAGTTTAAGAATGTACATGAAAGAAATGGTTCTTTGAATTAGTAGAACCCCTGTGTTTTCAAAAAGTGACTGTTGTTTTTGAAGATATCTGAAGTCCAGGGAGTGGTTTAGTTTGTGTACAAATTTGGTTCAAAAGTTTGAAAGTAAGATAAAAATAAAATATGTAATAATAGGGGGCCGGCCAAGTGGCTCAGTTGGTTAAGAGCGTGAGCTCTGAGCAACAGGGTCGCCAGTTCGATTCCCACATGGGCCAGTGAGCTGCGCCTGAGCTGAGCTGCCGCTGAGCTGCCAACAGGTGGCAGAATGGCTCAGCTGGTGAGAGCACCTGCTCCTAACAACAAGGTTGCTGGTTCGACTCCCGCATGGGATGATGGGCTATGCCCACCCGCAACCAAGTTTGAACACAGCACCTTGAACTGAGCTGCCCTGAGCTGCCGACCGGCGGCTGGATCACAACTGGACTTGGAGCTGAGCTAGCTGCACCCTCTACAACTAAGACTGAAGGACAACAACTTGGCTGTTCCCCTTCCCCAATTCCCCAATAAAATGTTAAAAAAAAAGAGTAATAATAGGCAAGAAGTAAGTCACTGTGCTAAACACATCACTGCCTGTTCTCAAAACCTAAATTTTAAGGATGAAGAAACTGAGGCCTATAGGGCTATTGCTAACATTTATTAAGGTAGTGAGTTGCAGATCCTCGACTCTGTTGTCTAATTATAACCTTTATCTTACTCATGCATTTATACTACATACCGATTCTTCAAAAATTTCTTTTAAAAATTTAGCTTAAGGTAGTTTAGGCATTGTAAAAGTCATGACAATCAAGATTTTAAAGGTAAATATTCGTCATAACTAATGGAAACATTTCTAACCACATTTCTATACCATAACACATAAAGCATATAACATGTGCTTAAATATCTAGGGAAACTGACATTACCTATTTTAAGAACAACAATGAAGACTATTATGGGAGGTTTTTTTTTTTTTCTCTGAAGATGAAAAAAAATTGATTGTATATAATTGCAGCTATTTTCATTTTAGTAGAAGCCACAGCTTTTCTGGTGCATTTGGATTGTTTTATTTATTTAAAACAAAGTTAATATATCTTTCCTTTCAAATGTTTGATATTATAATAATTATGGTAGCTTCAAGCTTTTCATTTGGCTGATGTGAGCTTGCAGAGTCATAAATATGAATTCTAAGGTTAATACTACTAGTTTTGTTCAGCTTTGTAAATATGTTAAGAAGCATTTATCTATGATGGTTTTATTTTATTCTTTTGGTAGTCTGTGAAATTTTCAATCATGTTAGTGCCAAGTGACTTGTGAAAATTAAATTGGCTTCAGCATGTGCTGTGGATTATATTCTGAGTTTTAATTATAATACTTACATTCCCCCCACATGATTCCTAATTCCTGGGTCCTAATTTTATTACTTTTGGCTTTGAATCTGTTAGTGTGTGTCTTTGAATATACTTTACCTTATTTCTTACAAGGTCATTCTGGGAATGATCTATTTCAGGAGGAAGAGAATCTTGTTTTGCAAGTAGAAAATTATGAGATTTGGAAAAATAAAAAAATTATTTAGTTTTATAAAGGGATGTATAGTGTGATCATATTTATGTTTTTACCCCTATTACATATTATTTATACTGAAGGCACCACTGAAAGGGAGTTAGGTAGGGGATTGGTAGATACTTTTGCTTCTCTGTTGTTAAAATTATAGTCTATCCAGAATAATGAAATTATTATTCTGAAAATAATGGGTTATTAATTACTAATGCAAAAATTGGGTTAAAGTTATGTCTAATAAGAACTGACTCAAGTCTTGTTAAACTCAGAATATTTTGTAGAAGAATCAAGAGAGTGATGACATGCTGAGCTTATTGTTTGTTAACTCTTTTAGACTCATCACCTGAGGGAGATGTGTGAACACATTACTCCATAATAGAAGAACTGTAAAACTGGGATAGGGTTAATTGAAAAAAACTCTACAAGGTTATCTTGCAAGACAACTTGAACTGTAATGTTGTTAGGGCTATTCCTGAGTATTTTGGTGCATGTGATAACTGTTTTTCCAAATCTTTCATCTAACTCTAGTTCCTGCTTAAGCACTGTCACTAAACCAGTCCATTCACTGTTGACACTTGCTATTTCCTTTTAATGCCCTTATTGATTATTCAGAGCAGTAGCCCAAGATTGTGTCCTCCAACAAAGATTAATAGTCAGAATTTTCCAGTGCATTTTTAGGGAAAAAAACTAGAAAGGGAGAGAAAGAGACAGCTTAAAGTATTAAAAATATTCAGTTCATCGTATCCCTGTTGAGACCTTTCTGTTGACTGAGTGTGTCAAGGATGCAGATTAACAAGAGACAGCCTAGCCTCAAGGAGTAGTGGCACTTGGCTTAGAAATAGGCTTTCTAGCAGATCATTTTATCCCTTTGAATACCTTTATTCAAAAGGGCCATCCGTTTCCCATTTCCCCTATACGTGAAGGGCGTCTTGAGTCCAGGGCAAGTGAGCATATGTAATGCTCTGTATACTTTTCCTCGGATATTGTTACTAGAAAAAAGTAGATGCTTTTGTAGACTAGAGTAAGCAATGCATTAGTAACTGTTTTCTCCAGCGAAGTTAGTATTTCATTTATGAGGGATCATTTTAAAGAAATAGTTAAATTATTGAATCTATAAAGATTTCCCCCTTCTTTGTAAAAATTAAAAAATTTAGATAACTTTGGACTTTATGTCCTTAGTAATATGTTTTTAGCTTACAGTCATTATTACTATTTTAAATTACATACCATGAATATTGTTCTTGTAAGATAATTATTTTGAATCTTAGTAGAAATTTTAGATAAATGGCTTATGTTTAAGGACAAGTAATTCCTTATTTTTTAATAGCTGCTTTCTATTAAAAATATAAACATTAAGTATTTTGATATTTATATACTGTGGAGAGTATAGAAACCTAGCTTGATGTTTCTATATTATCAATGAATTATTGAAAGGGTACCCTTAATTTTTAGATACATTTAGCTGTTTGAGGTTGATCGGTTATTAATTATAGTAAGGTTTAAATGAGATGAGGAACTTAAATCATTTGGTGATAATTTTTTTCTTATGCAGATCAATCCATAATGGATGTTTTGAAACATAAAAGTTTCCTAGAAGAACTATTGTTTTGGACTATAAAGTATGAATTTCCTCAGAAGATGGTAACTTTCTTACTCAACATGCTTCCAGATCAAGAGTATAAGGTATCCACCTTTTTTCTCCTGCCTTTCTGAGCTTTGCTCCCCCCTTCTTTGCCTTTTCGTTACTAAATCTGTTTGATGTATTTCTCAGTTGTGGCTTATTGTATTGTAACCCTGAGGACTGATACAATACTATAAAAGAGCATTAGCTTCCTCTGTTGCCAACACAGGGTCGTAGATCTGTGGCAAAGCACCACTACTGGGCAGAATTCCTAAGGGTTGCCTTTTTGCATGGAACTTGATTGATCCAAAGGGAATGCTGGGGGACAAACATAAATGCAATTGCACAAATAAATATGTAGTTACAAATTGTAGTAAGTTTTCTAACTTACAAGATGGTACAAGAGGTACAAGATGCTATGAGAATGTGTAATGGGGGCAACTGAATTTAGATTGTGGGTTTAGGCATGGGAGTACATGGGATTAGTAGTTTCTGGCCATAACGGTTAAAGACAGAACCATTATTGACTCGTACACATGTAGGTAGGTGAAGTCTCTAGTCCCAGCGGGTCTGGATCCACCTGTTACCACCATATGGCTATGGCAGAGTGACACAGCCTAGTGTATGAAAAGAAAATGCTTCATGTTGTAGTTCTTCTTATGGTTTACATAAGAGTGTAAACTCTTAAGAGTGACCCTTGAATGCCATTGTCTTGTGTCTTTATACCTGCTTAAGAAAACAGCAGAGGAAATGTACATATTACATAGAAAGAGTATTTTGTCAGATTAATGATCAACTTTCAGATCCGGTAGGAGAAGGTATTTCTTTTGGAGTAATCACACTGACTTCCTTGTTAAGTTATATGAAATCTGCTGTAATAGCTGTTAGCTGAAACTTTAGATTTTGTTGTTAAAGTTGCACAGAACAAAGACATATACTTGGAGAATAATAAACTGGTGTATTTTGAGCATAGTAAAAATTTGTATTTTAAACCATGGTATTTGTAATTGCTTTAAAATTTTAATAATTTAAAATGCCTATTAAAAATTTTTTAACCATCAGAATATTTTGGTAATGTTCCAAAAAAAGGGAACATGTGATTCAAGACTACCATCATCACTGAAATTATTTTTTAAATTACCTTGGACATCTTTACAAACTAATAATAGTTTTAAAATGTTAATATACTATATTAGAAAATGTATTATAAAACTCAAACTAATGTGTCTTCTTTCTATTTAAAAAATTTATAGGTTGCTTTTACAAAAACTTTTGTTCAGCATTATGCTTTCATTATGAAAACACTGAAGAAAAGTCATGAATCAGACACAATGTCTAACAGAATTGTGCATATTAGTGTTCAGTTGTTCAGCAATGAGGAGCTGGCCAGACAGGTAACAGAAGAATGTCAGCTGCTGGATATTATGGTCACTGTGCTATTATACATGATGGAAAGTTGCCTTATTAAAAGTGAGCTACAAGGTAAACTCAGAATTATTTTCACTAGTTTTGTTGTTAATATACTGTGTAAGCCTTAAAAACTTCTGATATCCTTAAAAGTATTACAAAATAAAACATATTTGTTAAGAAATTTTTGAAAAATTTCAGCAAAATTTAAAGAAAAACTTAAAAATTACCTATAGTTTTGTTATTCACAAATAACTTGTTAATGTTTTGGGATATTTCTTTCTTTTTTTTTTTAAAGAATTTTTGTAATAATTTATTTGTGACAAACTGACGATACATGCTGGGGAGCAAGATCTCAGATGCTCCCCTTGGATATTTCTCTTCTGTCTTTTTGTGTGATGTGAATATATTTATAGATATGAATACATACTTTAAAAATATGCTACCATAGTGTGTGTGTCAAGAACATGTTTTTTTTTAATGATTGCAGGTATTAATATCATATGGCTTTATCATAATTTATTTAACCATTTACTTATTAGACATGTCCCTATTTTTTATCATATATTTGTTCTTACCAGCCTTAGACATTTTTATATGCCTATACTTTTATAATTTAAAAGTTGGAATAAATCTTGCTTTTTCTGTGTTCTTTTAGAGAGATCTTTGATTTTCTTCTTTTTTGCCAAGTGTATGGTTGATACTCTTCAAACTGCCACATATTTCTAGGACCTCCTCACATTCTCATTTCTCTGTGGTCTTTCATTTTTACTTCCCTGTAATAATTTATATTATTTGAGTATTTGCTATGTACTAGACACTATGTTAATACTGTCTATATGTTGTTTTAATTAAGCTTCTAAACAACTCGCTGAGATTGAAATTATTACTATCTCCACTGTAAAGAGTAAATTGAGGCTTAGGGAAGTTAAGGCATTTGCTGTAGAGTATACAGCTAGTAAATGACAGAGTCAAGAAGGACTTCTTATCTTCTGATGTCAGAATCATTGTTCTTAACCATGACTCAGTCAGGCCAACATTGACAGGACTGTATCTTCTCTTGTTGGCACCTGGAACTAAACTTTAAAAATAACAACAAACCGTAGTTCAAATTAAATCTTAGGACCTTTCCATTTTCTGTGGAGGAGAAATCTTATAATTGAGACTTGTGTTGTTCCATTGTTGCCTCCTTTTGCATATCACCTCCTATTTTCCCTTTATACTGATAGTCTGTTTATTTTCAGTTGTGATACCATAGCCTGAAAATTGATATTTGCTCAGTGCAGGGCACATTGCTTTATATGTAATAATAGCTAGCTAATAACTATGATAGCTACCATCTTTAGAGCACGCACTATATGCCATGCTCTTTTCTCAGTACTTTTTATCTCATTTAACCACCAATAATTCTGTGAAGTGGATATTGTTTTCTCCATTTTATAGATGAGACAGTTGTGGTTTAGGGAGTTGAAGTCAATGATCTGTTGTTTTTAAATCCCAGCATCCCTTAGCACTGTCCCATCAATATCAACAGCTCAGCAACTCACAATGGCAGTAGTTGTCAGTCAGGGGGCTTTTCCGAATCTCAGGTAGGGTAATTTGTAGAAAGCTCCTTACCCCTCACTCCCTCATTCAGTTATATCCTCTCTCATCCTATTGAGAAGCACTGAAAAAGAGCATACGCAACTTCATGTGTCCTGTTCTTATATATAAGTTCAGTGTGATTACAGCCCCGACTAACTGCATAGGCCTCAAGTTCAGCAGCAAAGGCAGCATAGTAGGTCTGAGACTCAAATTCCACATGCTCATTTAGCTCTCTCTTGTTTAAGTTCATATCTTGCAAAAATTAATAGATATAAACCTTGCTAAAAGAAAGCAAATATTCATATTAAAAAGCAAGAGTTGGGTAAAATAATTTGATGGACAGAAACCCAAATTTAATGTATGGAAATTAAGAAGTTCCGTATAAGCCCTCCTCACTGATGAGTTTGACAAGTAGGTGGTTAGTTGAAAAAGTTGGCTGAAGTGAGGAATCATTAAAAAAATTATACATATGTATGTTAAACACTATATTTTAATTTAAAACACAGAAATACATGTTCATTCTCCAATCATTTAATTTTGGGCAAAGCATTTTTAAGGTATGGTTTCCTTGACTGGAGTTCTCCTTCATCTTTCTTAGATATACCACATCTGTAAAGCATCATTTGTGATTTTTAGTTTCAGTTTCTTAAGAGTAGGAACATTAGATCTTTGTGAAGCAATCTGAGCGTAAAAATCTTTCTAGGCTTTTATGATTTTTCTCCTCCAAGATTTTTTTTAGCATGTTCTTAGGCACTTACTTTTATTGTCTCAAAAGCTTATGATCTAGTTTTTGTAATAACCTCTCTTTATGGATTCATATTTCATCAGTTTTTATACTTTTAATTTAAATTTTATAATTATAATAAAAAGAACAATTAGCATTAACAGAAACAAAAACTGACTCTAGATAAACATATACCTCAGCTCATGTACTAGGGAATAGGCTCCTATCTTTGAACATCCTGTGTATTATAGAAATAGGGGCTTGTTTGTCCAGTGAATCGGTTGAATAAGAATAGTTTAAGATTGCTAACACATATGTGCTATAACTTCTAATAGTAAAGATTTTGTACAAGCATAACCGCCTCCCCCAACAATGTATTTAAACTTTGAGGAATTTCTTTAAGGCTAAATAATTTTATATATGTTTTCAATTCTTTTATTTTTGAAAGAAATACTGTTTGCTAAAAAACTATATTTATTTATTCTTTGAATAGAAGAAAGCAATTAAATATATATTGCTTAAATCATGCAGATTTGATTGCTAAAATGGAATGAAATTAAGCTAGGAATAAAAATATTTTATTGATTGGAATTGAAATATTGCATGATGTTATGAGAATCAAAATAATTTGGTTTTATAAACATAGGTAGCTCAATATCATGTAATACGTTGGACATATGGATTGTTATAATGATGTGCTAAATGTTATATTAACATTTCATTTAATTCCCTTAATATATGTGTCTTTTTACAGTTTACAGATGGGAAAATTGATTCAGTATAAGTAACACGCCTAATGCCATATAGGTATTAAATGGCAGGCTGGGATCCGTTTTGCTGTATGGATCCCATGAAATCCAGCCTGCTAGCCTGTACCAATAAGCACGCTGGACAAGATTTTATAGTGGAAATATTTTGAAACCCTGTTCTGGGCTCTACCTCTTTCTATTTAGGTGACTTGGTCAATTCATTTAAAAGTATTTGAACTTCTCACTTTCAGTCCTTTTCTTGATTTTTACAGTAAAACAAAATAAAATGGGAATGGGACAGCAAAGCTTGCCCTTCTTCACAGGGTTCTTATAAGGTTCTTAGGTGTCTCAGATTCTAAAGTGTATAGCCTATATCATTGGTGAAGTTTTTTTTTTAAACTTACTTATTTTTGGGCTGTGTGTTTGTTTTAGATGAAGAAAATAGTTTACATGTGGTAGTGAACTGTGGAGAAGCATTACTGAAGAATAACACTTATTGGCCTCTTGTCAGTGATTTTATTAATATCCTTTCTCATCAAAGTGTGGCTAAGAGATTTTTGGAGGACCATGGTTTGTTAGTTACATGGATGAACTTTGTATCTTTCTTTCAAGGTATGAATTTTACTTTTTTGTTAATTTCTTTACCAAACGCCTAATACCGAACTATCAAATACTAATTAAAAGATAATAGTACATCATTCAGGTTGTATGTGAAATGTCTTATTTTAATTAATTGATATTTGCAAGTACTTTAATAAAGTATTCATGAAAACGTATCAGAGTTATTAAAAATGTCAAATTATTAAAATGTCAAATTATTAAAAAAGAAACAGAAGAACAAGAACATAATTTATTTTAGTGTTTTAAACCATTAATCTGGAAGTTTCTAATCTATTCTCCAAGAAAGATTCATAAAAATTTTAGCTAGCATCAATTATAATAGTTTCGACTTTCTTATTTAATATTCCAATTATGTTATACAAGAAAGAGACAATTCACAGAGTATTTCTAAGAAAACCTAGTTTGTAAAGAACCCCAAAAGGACTAACTTGTTTTGTTTTTAACAATTTACTTATTTTTGTACATATTGTATCATTTATGCCATTTGTGTGCATGTTAAAATGTGTTTGGTACTAGGAAGTATTTTACTTGATTTTTAACATGAATACTTGCTTTTATTTAGCAAGGTTTAAATCTGTTTTAATTTTTGCAAGGTATGAACTTAAACAAGCGAGAACTAAATGAGCATGTGGAATTTGAGTCTCAGACCTACTATGCTGCCTTTGCTGCTGAACTTGAGGCCTGTGCACAGCCAATGTGGGGGCTCTTATCACATTGTAAAGTTAGGGTATGTTGAAAATATTTTTGTTTATTTTTGTATTTACCTTTAAAATAATTATTTAAGAAAAAGATGTGAAAACATTGATTGGTTACTTGTATATAATAATAATGTTGCAATGTTTAATTCTGAACTCAGCTCTGTGAAAGCTGACTTAAGACAGTAATTATTATTCTTAGGCAGGTTGGAATTCATTTATATTATCAGATCTTCCCAGCCATACTTTATTGTGAAAATTTGCAGCTTTATAAGTCTACATTTATCTTTATTGTTTCATTTTACCTATTAGCAGTTAGTTGCCTAGTGCTTCTTGTCTTTCAAGGGATAAGGATAGTCCTCAATAAAGTTTTAGACTTCTAAGATTCCAAGCAGCAAATCAGTATACATTTCATACAACTTCAGTTGTTTATAAAAAGAATCTAAGGGTAGGTAGCATAGCCTCAACATAAATTCTTATAATTGGATAAGAAAATGCTCATGTATTTATGTCTTTCTGTACAAATATGTATTTTACTTTTGCATTTTGAAATATTTGTTTGATAATTCATCAGAAACCTTGAGCAATTCAGAAAAATAGAACCCTCTGATCCTACTAAACAAGGACTTGACTAAGATTTTGCTATATGGATGCCAGGAAATCCAGCCTGCTAGCCTGTACCAATAAGCACGCTGGACAAGATTTTATAGTGGAAATATTTTGAAACCCTATTCTGGGCTCTGCCTCTTTCTATTTAGGTGACTTGGTCAACTCATTTAAAAGTATTTGAACTTCTCACTTTCGGTCTTTTTCTTGATTTTTACAGTAAAACAAAACGAAATGGGAATGGGACAGCAAAGCCTGCCCTTCTTCACAGGGTTCTTATGAGCTCTCTTCCACATATTCTTTAAATGTATGTGTTCCTTTAAGCAGATATTTTCTCTCATGACTTAAGCTATTCTCTAAATGACTCACACCTTTGTTACAGTCTAGTCACGTTCAAATTTCCAACAGCTCTGTTTATTCATGTAGATCTCCTTATAGGTACTGACTATACTATAGGTCCCTAACTAACTTTGAAAAATCATCTGCTCAGACTGTGCCCTTTATGTCATTTAATGGTATCTTAAATGATGGCAGTTATCTAACACAGAAACCTCCCCTAGCTGTGTTCAACCTGTAATCAGATGCCATAAATTCTCTCTTCCATTTCAGAAAGTCTTCCTACCACTCTGCCCTTTGTCTTAATTTATTTCTTTATATTTAAACAATCTGGGTTGTTAAGGTAATTTCTTAACTGGTTTTCCTGCCTCTAGATTTTTTCCTACTGTCACCTGTCCCAATATGTAAGTTACTCTTCTAACTTCTGTGCATATCTTCTTTGTTTAAAAATCATTCAACTTCTCATCTGTCTACAGGATAATGTCTGTGTTTCCTATACAGCATTTAAAATTCTCCATAAACTGCCCTCAACTTGTCTCTCATAATTTTTCCTATACCCCCTCTACCTCCATGCCGTTTACTTGTCAACATGCAGTGTTCTTTCATGATTTCTGTGCTTTTGTTCAAGCTAGTCCCTTTTTTGGCATATGCTCTCTGATTCTCTCTGCTTAGTACAGTGCTTCTTTTACACAAGAATCATCTGAGAAACTTTAAAAATACATGTGCCTAAGTCCTACTGTCAGAGATTTTTATTTATTTAATGTGCAGTAGGACCTCAGCAGTGATTCTAACTACTGTGAAGAACCACTGGTGTTAGCTCTTCAGAAACTCTACTCATAAGACTCAGCTGATGTGTAATCTGTTCATTTAAGTTCTTTCAGTCAGATTTATGATTCCAGTGTATGTCTCAGTGTTGTTGTTTTTTTGTATTACCTTGTTTGATTTCTACTGTAGCACTTATCAAAAATCTGTCACATGAGGTTTGTTTGTTCATACATTTGAAAAATATTTATTGAATGCTATTCTGTGTTAGATACTAATTAGATGCTTGGGTTTTTGGTGTTGAACCAAGTAAACATGGTTCTTGCTCTCATGAAGCAGGCTAATAGGAGATATAGATATTAAGTACTTAAAGACATAGATTTATTTTGTAAGGTTTTGTAAGTGCTCTATAGGATAGTAACAGGTTACTGTGAGAGTAAGGAGTGTGGTGTCTGATTAGATTTGAGGATCAAGGATGGCCTTTCTGAAGAAAGAATATGAAGGAGCCAGCTATGTGAAGAATAAATCTGGGGTTGGTGTGGGTAGAAGGGGAGATATTGGGTTGTCGAAAAGTCATGACACATTTTTGCAACAAAAAACATAGAAAAATACATCCTGACTTTTCCGACAACCCAATAGAATGGAATAGCCTACTTTCAGTAGGAAAGTGATTGATTCTTTT